TATATATATATATATATAGGATGTATCAAAAAGTAAGGTCAACCCACTAAGAGGTGAAGAAGAGAGGAAATTGAATAAAATATACAATATATATAAATTTGTTTGCATTCCCCATAATTTAGTAAGTATAATGTTTCATACGGGTATACGGAAAGTGTTGAAACCTCTCAATATTTCGAAAAATTCGCATTTGCGAAAAAAAGTTCTATACAAATTTGTATAATTTTAATTCTACAAATTATATAGTAGACGCATTATGTAGTAAGATCAGTATGATCATAAATAGCATTGTCAAAGTCACATAAGGATCATTTGAAAATTTGATCCTTACTCAAACTCCTCTTTCATCTCCTAGTTGGTTGACCCTACCTTCCGATACATCTGTATATATACAGAGCGAGGCATTTTGACCAACTTGACCACTTTCAATTATTCGTACACTGTTTGTTATACGAAAAAACGTCCCAAATAAAAATCATATAACATCAAGGGGGATATTCAGTATAATAATTAGTTTTTTTGTTATTTTGCTTTTTTATCGAGATATGAAACTCACTTTGAGTTATTTAATAAATAGAATGTGTAACATTTTACCCTGCAATTCGAAAGAATATTGGACACCGAATAAAAAACTATTAAGGTATAATGAGTACAAAAATCAGTAATTACTGAGATTTAAATGATTTTTAATGTAAATAATGCTCAAAATGTTGTCCATTACAATCAATACAAATACGTAATTGATAAATGAAAGTCATATACATGTCAGATACATGTTCAAATATTTCTGGAGTTATAGCATTACATGTTCTGAGGATAAGGTCTTTCATGTCGTTAAGGACCATTTACAATAACCGTAAAATATGCAATAAGATATAAGCAGTAAGCTAATTGACCAACCACAGTCGATTTATTTTTTAAATGTATGAATCCAATTGGCCAATTAGCTTACTGATTTGTCTTATTACATATTTTACGATTATTGCAGACAGCTCTTTAGTGGCTTGCAATAAACTTCGTTTTTAAAGAATATCTAATTACTGATTTTTTAATCCATTATACCTTAATAGTTTTTTATTCAGCATTTAATATCCTTTCAAATTGCAGAGTCAAATGTTACACATTCCATTTATTAAAAAACTCAAAGTGACCTTCATATCTCGATAAAAGAGTAAAATAACAAACAACTAATTATTATATCGTACGATGATACGTACGTGATATCATACGACTTTGATTTGAAATATTTTCTTATATAACAGTTTACGAATAAATTGAAGGTGATCAAGTTAGGTGCCTCACCCTATATATGCACGGTGGCCCATTTTTAATGACGCATTGAGATTTCATGAAAACCAAGGCTTTTATTGAAAAATGTTTCATATAATAAATTAGTGTGGTGACAAAATAATTAAAGTATAATTATTAGTTTTGCGAAACAATATATTTAACACTCTTTGTCCTAAGCCCGAGTATAGGTCGTGGTAGCGCGCAGACGACCACTGTCGAAGCCCGACTATAACTCGGGCCTGACTATTTAATTCTATATATTTCTGCTGTCGGCTTATTCTTGAGTTTCGGTCGTTTCAAATGTTTCATAGAACTTCGGATATCTATCCCCCTTCTTCTGGACATTAAAATTGTCTAGGATCCCATTAATAAATCATCTTTAAGGCCGAGGCTTCAAAGTGTTAAAATGACGATGTATTATATTATCATAGAACGTATACATTATTGATAAACAATTTAGGGTTTACTCATTTATGAAAATAACAATTACTTAGCAATACAAATATTTTAATGGCGGTTTGACGGAAGGTACCCAGCATATATATTATATACAGAAAAACTCTTCTAGGACAGGGAAATCGGCGGCTAAGCCATCGAGCCTGGAGCGATAGTAGGAAAGATATTAAAGACGCGGCCCAACCGTGACATTGGTAGCAAGTAGTACACACGCTAAAGAGAAGTCACGTACAGTGGTGGACAGAAAGGTTGTGACACACTTTTTGGGATAAATTTTGAAATGCATCCTACATTCGATAAGAGAATTCATTTCTTCATTCTCCTCAGGAGACACCTCTCTCTTCTCCTACTAAATTCTCCTACTGAATACAAGAAGTATTGGAAAATTCATAAGAAAAACAACTTTTCTGTCCATATGTCCCCCATGTACACTCGGTCACAGGATGGTTGCAACAATTTATTTCTTACATACTTCAGAACATACAAAAAATGACGAAGCGAACCTATAATTCACAAACATACAATTCACAAACCTATAATTCACAAACATACACAATAGATGGTCAAACAGCTGTCAAAATTAGATATATATATATATCAAAATTACATACGTATATGTCATATATATCAATATACGTATATATATATATATCAAAATTACATACGTATATGTTTTGACATATACATATTTACTGTCTGACTATCTATTGCGCATGTTTATAAATCATAAGTTCGCTTTGCCGTATTTTTTATGTTCCGAAACTTGTAAAAAAAATTGTTGCAACCGTCCTGCGACCGAGTGTACGTACTTTCTCTTTAATGTGTGTACTATTTCCAACCAACTTCACGATTGGGCCATATCTCTTTTCTGACATCTATAGGTAGTAGAAAGGCAACAGATATCTCCGAAATCAAGTTGAAAAGGACATCTAATTCCGAGCACTGCAATAAAAAGTAAAAAAAAATTCGACAAATATTCACTTTTCGATCTTACCGTAATACTTTATCCCAGAATGAATAGAGGATTTGATTTGTGTTAAAAATAACTATATAATTCTGTTTTAAATAATAAAGTTGACTTTAAAAATACCTTGCGTCATTAACCGTACAACAAAATCAAGGTTACCATCTTATATACCATTCGAAACTACAAAACATTTTTGGACAAAACATTTTTCCATGAAAGCCTTGACTTTCATTGAAATCTCACTGTGTTATCTAAAATGGACTACCCTGTGTTATATACATATTCAAAACGAACAAAGTAGCAAGTATATTGCTCTATTTTTATATAAAAAATAATAATTATTATTATATATAAAAACATAATAATATATCCTAATTTTGTCATCTTTTATCAGACAGAAGTACAAAGAGAACGCGAAGCATGGGGCGGATAAATAGCGCGCGTTTGCGATTTCTAGCTAATTTCTGAAAAATGATTTTTCGAGACATTTTTGTTACATACGGTTGGATTCGGCGTAAAATAATCTCATATAATTATAAAAAATGTAAACATTTTGGAAAGAATATAAATAGTGGGAATATATATGTTTTTCAACATATAATATTAAAAAATATTTTCACCACCGTTATAAAATACATCTGAGACTTTTATTTGCAACTTTTATTTCAAAAAATTTCTTTCCTATTTTCCAAAATATCGTTTTCAAAATATTCGCTTCGAAATAAAAAGTCGCTTTTTTTAAAGGGGTTTTCATCCTCTAAAAATGCCTATGAGCATGTATAAAAAAGTACACATATCCGTTATTTTGAGCTAGATTACAACATATTATAAGTTCATCAAAATCAAAAAGGGATATATTTTTCTTTCCATATTTACGGAGTATTTCTTTTCACTTTTACGGGATTCTGTTATCATATCATTGCGAATATCTCCCAATATCTTTCAAAATATATTCTTACGATATTCTTATTTCTAACATTTTCAGAATACTTCACGGTACTCTTGTTTCCAGAGAAACTCTTTCGGAATATTCTCCTTTTTCGAAGTTTACCTCCGAGAATACTTTCTCACATCACTATTTGAAAACTTGAAGCGACGTAATAAATCAACCGAATAGATCAGCTGGAGAATCCAGGATTAGTATGTTCTATGACGCAACGTCGACAATAGCGTTTGACCGCACGATAACCAACCCATGTGACTCTAGGGCACTCGCCAATGTTGAGTTGGCGCAGACTGCGTACGTAATAAGCCAATGCTTCAAGGCCGGTATCAGTTACTCTCTCACACCCGCACAAGGATAGTTTCTTCAGGTTCGGACATCCAGTAGAAAGTGCCTCAAGAGTTGCGTCGCCAATGTCACATTTACCAATATCTAAGGCCCGGATACGTGGGCAGCCGCGCGCCAAAGCGACGGTCGCACTGTCACTAAGCGCTTCGCAACCACGAGCATTTAAATAACGTAGCTTGTAGCAGTGACGCGCAACGACCAGAAGACCGGCATCGGACACGCGGTCGCATTTACCTACGGAGAAATAACGTAGCGACGGACCGAGACGTGCCGCCAATTCGCGTACCCCATAGTCTGTTACCTTCACACAGTCTGACACTGATAGCTGGCGCAAACTGGCACAATAAGAAGCAATCGCGACCAAACTGGCATCAGTGATACGAACGCATCTACGCAGATAGAGGCATCCCAAGTGTGGCATACGTGACAAACTGAGCACCAAACCAGAGTCCTCCACACCATGACAGTCACTAAGGTCCAATGATTGCAACTGCAAACTGGTAATGGCACAGCTGCAGGCACGAGTCACATTTGAGCAACCAGTGAGATCAAGCTCCCTAAGATGAGTGCAGCTGTCCAATATGGTGGTAACATTAGCATCATTGACGCGACGCGAGTGGCGTAGTATGAGAGAAGTAAGATTAAGAAATGGCAGTTGGACGAAAATTCCAGGTAACCCAACGGCACCTTCTAATACTAGACGACGAATACAGGTATGACATCCGCGACGTGTCAACGCATTCAAAGCAGCGGTGGCATTTTGCGGATAGCGCACTTCAACTTCGCGCCAGAGCGCTGGATGCCACGCAATCTCCCAAAGGCGTCGACAGGTCTGCGCCAGAGTGCAACGATCGCGTGTACCGAGCCAACCAAAGATCCTTAGCAGCAAATTATCATCAAGTTGACAGAGATCTGCTCCTGTATGAATAATCAAGTGATGTTTGCTATGTGACTGCGGTTGTTGCTGCTTCTGTTGTTGTTGACACATGGATACACTAATTGCGCCTGGGGTTGATGAAGACGATGATGACGACGTCGTGCGGCAGGCATTGTTATCGAGAGTATGGTAGCCCAAATCGATAGCATCCACTCCTGGTCGATATACACCGACTTTCTGTGATGAGTAGCCACTACTTTGCTTGGAACAGCTTTGTTCCCCAAAACTAGGGAAAAGAAGTGGGCACGATCCGTCCATTCCATGCTCTGTTCTACAAACGAATTCATTTACATTATTGTACAATTATAATTAGCACTATGTAAATATACATGAACATCATATTATATAAATATTTTAAAAATAAAAATATAGAACAATAGAAAATATAGAAATGTCAAGTATATTTATTTTTTTTAATACTACATTTATTTTTAAAAGAAGCTTATTCAACAAATCAAATTGTAAATTATAATTAAAAGAAATATTTCTCAATTAATTTATTTAACGAACATGTATATTCGCTAAAAAAAACACATAATCAAGATTTCTTATGAAATTATTATTTAATTATTAAAATATTCAAAGAGTTAAAATAGAACTAAGGCTTTAAAATTTATGCCATATATAAATAACACTTCGAAAAGACAAATTTTGTTTACTAATTATACTGAAGAAACTTTTCATTGTATCTTTCTAGAATTTTTATCCTTTCTATTTATTTCAAATGTTGAAAAAGTAAGTAAACAAATTATTTAGCTTCAGACTTCATATTCAAAAAATATAGTTATATAAATTAAGTTTTTGTAAATTATTTGAGATATAAAAATAAAACAACAAATTTTTTACTATAATTTCTTATTTTTATAATTCATATTTCATATTATTTTCATATTTCAGTCAAATAAACTAAAATTATTTTTAAATATCACGTTATTAGACGGCTTTTAATTTGCTTAGCATTAAATACAGTTATAATGAAAGAATTCATAGTTTCTATCTCCCTACAGAAAATGAAATCACATCTCAATCACAAACTCTTACAATACTCATATACAGTAGATATATGATGAAATAATATTAAGTAGAAACATAGTTAATAGTTTCTAAAATAGCTAAGATAGCTAAAATAGCTAAGATAGCTAATAACTTCTAAAAAGATGATATTGAAAAAATTTTCTCTGGTTATTTATTATATTACAAAAATTAGAACTAAGATTAAAGCTTGGATTTCTATTATTATGTATGTGATCAGCACCTAAATTAATTAGAATTGATGGTTTAGATCAAGGATACAATTTTTATATTGACCAGTGTTATTATACAATCATCTAATTATGACAAGCAATGCTCAACTGTTCAGGATAGCACAAGATCCATCACAAAATCAATCTTAAACATGTCTGAGACATATCAACACCTTAGGATTTACTAGAAAGTATTCTAGGACATCCTAAATACAACCAGCATTTATTTATCTAAATAATATCTGCTGGCAGACAATAATAAAATTTGATGATATATATATAGATAGATAGATAGATAAAAATATTCATAATTTGCACTCTTGCATTTCTTCCAAAAGAAAATGGTTCCATATAACTTCACCGATTAGCCAACATATATATCAAACACAAGATAGCACATCATGCTTTCAAAAACCCCACTACAATAAATCTTCCTTATATATCTTTTATAATCAAATAATTTAATCGGCACATACGTGGGCGCACACGCATATACTCTGCTGTTTAAACTATATAATTTTGAATTTATGCCATATGTAAAACACTTTTCGTTTATATATATTGTCGATAGATCTGACATTTATTCGTTTGAAAAAACTTGAGATCTCAAATTTCCCGCGCGGCCACGTATATAGCACGCATTGTCCGCAAATTACACTATGGGGCCTTATTCAACGTAGTGTCCTCTCGGCTTTTCCTTTCGACATGTAAATTTACTCACGATATGCCAGACAGGAGTCAACGACAATGCGTGACATCACCAAACAATATCGATCTATCCGCCATCACCTCCATGTTGATCCAGCATTCCAATTCGAAGCAGCTGTGGGGACCGTAACAGGTTTCACTCTCAAGCGGGGACCAACGAACCGCAAAGAAGTTTATTTAATGCTAATCGTGTAATATTCCGTTACTCGACGAATTACTCATCGCACAGTTGCCAAAGAACGTACGCGATTGCGTTTTGAATGTGCAGCAAAGTGACATGACAGACTTTCGACATATTACAGGAGTCCGACACTATCGACATTTCACCCTGACGACTCAACTGACCCCTCTTGGGCCTTTTTGGATCCCACTCGCCACATATAGGGCCGAAGCCATAGGCTAAAGCTCGTATCAAACAACGCACATTGAGATTGAATTGAAATTTGACCAATCAGCATAGTTCACTAGATTTCACTAAACTTGAGTTCAGTTAACTTTGCACTGATTGGCAAAATTCAATTATATCTCAATCCCCAATCCGTAGTCCGACACAGACTTTAAAATCTGTTAACACGTTCATTGGCAAGCTGAAAATTGGAATTTCGTGTGGTGGCCAAATTTTTTTTTTTATTTAGTTTTTATTGTGCACAAAATAAGTTAATATATTATTTACATGCTTTTTATTATGTACATAGGATTTATGTACTCTAATATATTATTACTCTAAATATCTATTATGCGATAACGCGTGATCGACCGTTTGGTGAGAACTCGCATCACGCGATATCGCGTGATTGGTAATGAACGTGTTAATGGAGCGCGAAGCAGATCGGAAATATGTTCTCTTTAGCACTCACGCTTATAAGCGCTATTTTCAACTGTTCCTTTTGGTTGTTAAGCGCTTACACTAAATCATTTCCTTTGGTATTTAGGAGTAAACGCGTTAATGGAAGATAAAAAGCTGATTCCAATATTATTTGGTTAAACATTACACGCTAGATATTATATTCTCCCACAAACATATTAATATTAAAAAAATATGGTAAATTTTTGGAAGTACTACTATACCGAAAACTGCTTTATTTTTGCAATAATCAACAAAATAAGTTATGAAAAGGTATTTATATAAATTTTAAAAAAGGGGCATGAGGTTCTTTGGGGGAAAAATCAAAAAAGTTAAGATTTATTTGAAATTTTAAAGATCAATTCTATGATAGTTTCAATTTCGCTATAAAGTCCTTTATGTTTATAAACACATGTAATCAATTCTAAATATCAGCAGTTCTCTGTTTATTATTCCCTCAGTTGACTTTTGGCGAATAGAAATAAGAGATAACAAATTGTCGTTTTATTCTTCTTCAGGCATTAGATATTTTTTCTTTAATATAACAATCATTTATTTTTTACAGTACTAGTTTATACCTACAATACTAGTTACAATACTTTTTTACAATACTAGTATATACCTACTAAAGTTTGTGCAACATTTGCAACGAACATATAATATTGAATAAAAATTTAATATAGAGGTGTCAAAAGTAAAAAAAAAGGCAAATATGGGAGGCAAGGACACGGATCGAATGAAAATATCGATCCGGTTTCGGTTCTGGTTTCAGTTTTCTGAACAATGAAAGTACCGATAAACCGTTTAAATTACGACTTTTTTTCGGTTTCGGTTCTTTAAACTTGTTTCTTTACTGAAATGTTTATTGACTTAAATTACACACACACACATATATATATATATATATATAACATGTACAATAATATATTATAAAAAGTAATAATATTACTTCCTCGATGTAGATGACATTTCTTCACTATTTCCACTTTCTGCTCTTAGCATTTTTGGATATATAATATTATCCTCGTTATTTGTAAATTCTTTCTAATAAAACATGTAAATTATATAGATTTTGAATTATATAGATTATATAGATTATATAAATTATATAGATTATTCGAAGAATATCTCGATATTCTCCGAGCTTCCTCAGAATATACATGTTTCGTAAGAGTAATTTGTACAATTCAGAATAATTGCCTTTCTATTTATCCCAAAATTGTGATGTATTATTTCTTCAATTAATTCTCTTCTGTTCACGTATGATTGAAGTTTATTTTCTATTCGTCGCGATAACTAATCAATGTTTTGCTTTTTCGTGAGAAGTAGAATTTCATTATGAAAGGAAAAGAACGATTATTTAAAATCACAAAATAAGAACTGGAATACTGAACCGAAAATAACCTGCAAACCGGAAAAAATGTAACGGTTCCAATTTCTAGTTCTATATAAAATTTCGGTATGGTTTACAGTTTCGGTCCGACAAAAATACTGATTTCCATACGGTTTTTTATTTCGGTTCCGGTCCGGCCCGGATCCTTGGTGGGAACTAATCCAGACAGCACAGATTTCTTAGGAATGTCTTGGATGTCCTGAGGATGTCCCAATGACCTAAAAATACCCATAGGACGTACACAGAATATTCATGGGATATCGAGTGCTGTTTAGGAAAACATTTATTCTCATTGTAACTTTTGGCAATCGTGGTGTATAGGATTCAATAATATACATTTATCTCTAACTAATGTTGCTAATTTATTATACAATATTTATTGTTATCGCCACCATATAAAATTTTTTAGGAGAATGAATTGAACGTAAGACAAGTGGTAACTGACTAGTTAAATTTTATAAGAAAAACGATGATCTATTGGAAGTACAAATTAGTTCGGTCCGTTTTTTGTGGTCAAAAATGCATTTATTTCAGAACAAAATGAATGAACAGATTAATCAAAGTATTGTCCATCGTTGGCTACTACTTTTTCCCACTTCTCAGGCAATTTTCGAATTCCATCTCGAAAAAATGTCTCGTCTTTTGAGACGATTTAAGTTAGAAGGCAATTTTCGATTTCTGCGAAATAAGTGAACCGGTGACCTGCCAAATCGTGCTGCATCCGTCGGAACAACCAGTAATCAGAAAGAGCAATGTCCGGCGAATACGATGGGTGCGGTAAAATATCACACTTGAGTGTTTCCAAATAATTTTTTACGACTTTTGCGACATGAGGCCGAGCGTTATTATGCAGAAGAATAACTTTGTCATGTCTTTGCTCATATTCCGTTTTTCTCGTAATACATGACTCAAACTAATCAATTGTAGCCTATATCGATGGCCCATAATGGAATCGCCAAGTTGTAGCAGCTTATAGTATACAACACCCTTTTGGTCCCAACAGATACACAGCATGACCTTCGAATCATGAATATTCGGCTTTAGTATTAATGTTGAGGTCGATGGCAATGATTGACATAGCGTAGTATTTTTTTTTCTTGGGGTTATCGTAGAATATCCATTTCTCATCCCCAGTCACAATCCGATGTAAAAACCCTTTCTTTGTTGCGTTTGAATCAGCTGCTCGCAAGTAAAAAATCGCCTTTCAACGTCTCTCTGTTTCAGTTCATAAAGCACCCAATTGCCTTGCTTGTGAATCATTTTAGCACATAACGTATTAACTGTGTTATATGGGAATCTACTGTATATACTAAATACTACCTAGTCAATTACAAGACTGATATTCATGATATATTTGCAAGCGGTGTACGATTTGAACTGAATTATAACGTGATAAATTTTAACTGCGACAACTTGAAGTGTTGCGTAGATAGTAGGAAAATGTTGATACCGTTACGTAACAATGACAGATTTAATAACGAAACAAATAAAGAAAATAATCCTGTAATAAATGAGCAAAATGAAGTAGCATTTGGTTGGGATGACTCAAGCGCCAAATTATTTTTAAGTTTTTTTAAGGATGAAAGTGAACAGTTAAAAAATAGAAACAAATGAAACGCAAAAAATTATGTGGAACAACATTTTATCAAAAATGCAAAAGAACGGATACAATACAACCACAATACAAGTGGAAAATAAATATAAATCACTCGAGAGATAATACAAGAATATGATATCGAATAATATAAAAACAGGTAGAGGCCATACATCGTGTGCGTATGAAAGGTTAGTGTTTACATAATATATATGATAATGGGTTCATTGATATGTAAAGTGCTAATATATGCATTTATTTTAATTATTATAGGGAATTTTCTGAATTTCTAAAATCGAAACATAACATACAGCCATTGGCTGTATGTGGTAGTGAAAGCTTAATTGCGAAAGAAGACCAAAGAACAAATCAATTTTAAGTATATAACATAGATATTTGTCTTATTTATTAATGTTATGGTTTATTTTTAATACGAATAGAAATAAGTACATACCAATAGTATATTATGTAGTGAATTATATATCTATAATTAGTGTTTATAATGACAAGATAAGTGGAAATTCGTATTCATATAGTGAGATTGCTGTTTTATCAATTTATTGTACATTTCCTGCAGATCTGTAGATATTATTAGTGAGCCCGACGTAGACGAACCAGAAACAGTAGCAAGTACATCAACAGAGAACAATTCAAGCAGAGCTATAAATAATCAACCAAAGCAAGTGTTACGAAAAAATTCCCTATTGTCAGTATAATCATATATAATTATAATTTATATATAAATATATAATTTATTTGGTTCGCTTTTACAATCAAAACAAATATGTTACAGACATTACAGCCAATTCAAAGGAAGCATTTAGACACAACAGCTCGAATGTTGGAAAGTTGTCAAAAAACAATTGAGAAATTTGCAACCGATTTCCAAGACGATAGCAATATTAAACTTGAAATACAAAAAAAGATGCTGAAGGAATATCAAAAAATAAGATTAGCATATGAAGAAAGTGTGAAATAACTAACAAAAGGTAATGAAATAAAAGAAGAGAAAAATCGACTGCTGAAGGAAATCTTTGATTTTACAAAATAACAACATAGATATAAGTATTTACGGATTAAAACAGTTTCTAGTATTATTATTAGCATTTCTTCGGAGTTTTAGTTTTCAGACTATTACTTTAATGAATGTGATATTTCTCAGTATTAATATGAAAACTTTGTTTTTTGTTTTGTTCTGGAAAATTTTATTTTGTTCTGAAAAAAATGAATATATTTATGAATAATGTTATATATGATAATAAGGCATAATAAACTAAAGTGTGTTGCAATGAAATTGTTTTTTGTCATTCGATCTTTCATACATACAGTGAAAGCTCCTTATTCACGGTTTCCTTATTTGCGTTTTCACTATTCGCGGGTTAAAAAAATTGCGACACAGTTCCTGTATTCGCGGCTAAAAATTTCTTTATTCGCGGATCCAATCGGTATATAATCGGTATCCAAATGTAAAGGTGATATTTTTGCCACCTAATACGACGGCTTTACTTCAACCCATGGATCAAGGAATAATCTAGGCTTTTAAGCTTTATTACATTAAGCGAACCTTCAAAATCATACTGGACGCCATGGAAGTTGATCCTGATATGAACGTTATGCAATGCTGGAAAAAATTTGACATAGCGAAATGCATTGTTAACATAAAAGAATCGTTGGGAGAACTGAAGCCAGAGACATTGAAATCATGCTAGAAAAAACTGTGGCCTGTTCTGACTGTCGAAAATGATGAAGAATCCGTGCAAATTCAAACTTTAACTGCAAACATTGCTGAAGTTGCGAATGGAATAGGACGAGATGGCTTTGAACAGATAAAATCAAATGACATTCAAGAGTTGCTTGAATCGCAAGATGAAGATTTGACAGAAACCGACTAAAAGGAAATGTTAACTCCGCATCCCACTGAAGAAGAGGCTTCAACGAGTTCTGAAAAGGTGGTCTTTAATTTGAAAAATCTGAGTGAAGGCTTACGGATGGCAAAGGAGCTTTGTGATTTTTTTATGAAAATTGATCCGTCTATGGAAAGAAGTCTCATTTTTAAAAGGCAAATTATAAATGCCACAACTGAATATCAATCTGAATTGAAAAACCGTTTAAAAGCAGCAAAACAAGAAAAAATTACTAAGTTCTTTAAACCCTTGCCTAAGCCTGACAATAATTAGTAATAGATATTGTTAATAATCACTTATTAAATTTATTTTATTCTGATATTTTTTTATATTTTGGAACCATGGAACGTATCCCCTATAATCCTATACAAATTACCATTCCATATCCATGGTTTCTGTATTCGCGGCAAATTTATGGAACATATCCCTCACGAATAAGGAACTTTTACTGTATTGTTGTGTAACAAGTAATTAACATAATACGTCACGTGTATACATACTATTCTCTAATTCTCTTGGCACATCATCATCAACGTCAATATATAAATTTTGTGCTTCGATATCAAGATTTTCATTATTCATTGGCGATTCAAACAACTCTAATTCCCGCGTATCTCTCATATTGTGCAACACACAGCAAACATATATCACTTGTACCATTCTTATTATGTCCTTCAATTTAAAGTGATATAACTGTCAAAATCGTTGTTTATGACATCCGAATGCGTTTTCAATGATTATTCGACAAGAACTTAATTTGCGATTAAAAAGTCTTTGCGCATGTGTCAAATGCCCCATTGTCTCTATATGATACCATTAGCTTCCTCAGACAAAGGTATGCACTATCATCCAATAAGAAATAAGTATCTGTAACAATAATATTTATAATGGATATCAATTATTATATCCAGGAGCTTTACATCTTTTATCATGTTGTACTTCTTACCTCCACAAAGTTCATGCAGATTGTCATATATTGCTGAGTTTCGAAACATTCTTGCACCATGCACAGAACTTACAAAAACATTTATAAATTTCATGTTATGATTAACATCCTTGAATGTGCAACGGAAAATACTGTTTGCTATTTATGTATGATTCGGGATCTTCTATTGGTTTGTCAATTCTGATATGAGAGCCATCAATAACACCTGGAGATGAAATATCATATATAAGTAATACATTGCTATGTAATAAAGAAAATATAAAGTATATAAATGTAAAGTATATAAATGTTAATTTATTATCAATTATACCAGGAAATCCTTTTCTTTCTTCATAAAAAGTAGCAGTTTCTAGTTTTTCAGCTGCGGTGGGATATTTGATGTAATTAGGCGCAAGAGACATAAGAAATTGTATTACTCTATTAATAAAATGCTAATTGATATTCTGTTCAAATCTGTCTACTACATCTCTATATGCTATATCTCTATATAATGCACTTTCGTGACCAACAAACCACAGGAAATATAATATATACTAAGTTATGAATATAATATATACTAATATATATATATATATATATATCAGTAGTATAAACAACGTAACGCCTGATAGCTCGAGTAACTTCTCATTACGTTAAGTCGTAACAAAATGAGGAAAGCACTTGTCTTCGGATTGTCCGATGAAGAAAACATATTGTTTGAAAATATTTTTATCCAAGAGACGGCTGTTATCGTGAAACACGGTAAAGATGATTCCTACGGTAAAAGGTAAACGTATAAAATATCTTCAAACGTATTAATACTTTAACACGACACAAATATGCAAAATCGCGAAGTCTGAATTCGTATTTTTAAAGGGAACGGAAGTTATAACAACGTGCGGTACTTTATACTTCATTTGTAACAACAACGTACGATACTTTATACTTCACTTGTAATTATTTTCCACAGATGACAAAAGAACAAGTCCGACCGATCGACCGATGTTTCTCACAAACGTCAAACGCATGTCCCTTACGAACACATACGCTATAATGAGACATACGAGAAGACAGAGCCAAGAAAGAAGCAATCACGTTTGCGTGGTTTTCAATCGAGAAATCATGTCACGATTGTTAGTTCATGGAAAATAAAAGTCCAAGTAATTTTCGGCGTCAAGTCGATAGCTGAACCGCAGACTCCTTTCTCAACAAAATTGTTAAATTTTGTTTTCATTTCTTAGCAAATTGTTAAATTTTGAATATGCCGGTCTCGCAGAATCATTCCATGATGTTTCGATCGACCGATAGTGATATTTCACACTTTCTTTACTACGGTGCATTCATGTAAAATTAAAGAATTTTCTTTAGCACATACGTTAAGAAAGGGAAATGACGTATTTTCTATTAAAATATTTTTATTAAAAGAACTATAATAAATCTGTGATAAACTAAAAGATGAAAATGAAGTCGCTGTCATAAAAAAAGTCATGCCTACAGCGCGAGACGTTATATGATTATATTTTTACGTAAAAAAAATATTTTTTATGGAATGAAATTTTTAACAAAATATATTATAACAAAAATATATTATTTATATTTATCGTATGAACTAAGCCATAAAGAATGATATCTTACCATTCCATATCACAAAGATGAGTAATAATATGAATAGTAATATGTGAGAAAATAATTTACACTATAAGCATTCATCATAAATCGTCGAAGTATATATTCAGTGAGGCAGATGTAGTACACATAATAACACATATTTTATTCTTGTTCAATTATATCAATCCTAAAATCATCAAATTGCGAAAGAGAGATTTGTCGACTTACTTAATTCCTGCGGAGAAAATTATGGAAATCCATGCTAAGAATGAAAGTAGGAAGTAAAAATAATTCTAACGCAATTTGAGATGTATATTTTGTTTCTTACCTACAATGAATTGAATGACTAGAGTTTGAGGCCAAATAATACTTTACCGAAGGTTCGACTGTAACCTACGAATGCACACACCAGAATGCGCATTGCATGAAAGAAAACATGTCGCTCGACAGTGATAACTGCACATGCGCAACTAGCGATCATCAAATATTATATTCTCCTGAATATTTTTCTACTGGGAAATAAACGTAAATTGAAATTTTTTCCGTGCAAAATCGACCGTCCAATTGCCGATCTATTTTTCCTCTATAAAATATATGTGCGGTATTTCGTAGCACCTTGTGTTGCTATTATGTCAAATTAAGTAATTCACGGTGCAATTTCCGCTGAACTACGTTCGATCGATCGGTCGGCAGAAGGGAGTAAGCGAGGTCTTTTCGCCCCTCCGCTGGCAAATGGAATTCGGCGTTCATATCAAGATGATCTGCATCGAAACTGAACACTTCAGTCTGAACCGAATGCTCTTGCTCTCGATTGGCTTATGGCCGTATCAGCGATCGAAACTTGTTACGCTGCAACTGTTCTCCGTCTCAGCCATTCTGATAAGCTTCGTTGTGTTTCAAGTAAATTAATATTTTCAGTTTTCGTCACATGATAAGTCGCTTGTCATNAATTGATATAGAAGTCCAGTAGAGCATATCCCGATTGACTACGTTACGACTGGACACAGATTGGATTCGTTCGATTGGACGCAGATTGGTTAAACACCACAAATTTGGCAAACTGCACGATTGGATACCGTAATATTGATACACTGTTCAATTGGACACCGCACGATGGCACACCGCTCGATTGGACAATGCAAGTTTGACATACTGTTTGATTGGACATTACACGATCGCGCACTGCTCCATTGGACACCGCAATATAAACTGCATCTGTTATATTAAAAGTGTTATTTGCTTTGCAATCGTCCACTTTGATCTATTCTTGACTAATTAGTCTTAATTACAGTAATAGTGATGGAAAGGGACTTCCTTGCTGATTTCGCTGAAACATTGTAATATTGTATATTTTGATGCGTAAAACATGAATATGAGAAATTGTCGAAATGTATAAAAGAAATATATAATGAAATATGTAAAAAATGAAATATATAAAGAAATATTTCAGCGATAAATTATTTAAATTCAAACCATGCGTAAGGGGACCTCGCTAATCTTTTCAAGATCTGTGATTTTAGTATACTCGTATAATAGATTCATTAATTTGGCAAGGCAAAACATTCAAATTGAATATATTTATAAATGTAAATATCTTTCTTTCCTATAGGTATTTTTTATATACTTTCTAGCAACGAAGAAAAAAATTAACACTTTTTTAAGTGTTAATTTATTACTGCAATTAAGTCAATAAATTTCATTAATTTTAATTTTTTTAAATTAAATAATTTATTAACTTTTCTTTATCGTAACTCTAAAAAATTCATGCAGTTGTATTTTGATCAATATATATCTCTCTGCACCATCAGAATTTTGATCAATATATATCTCTCTACACCATCAGTATGACACATTTCGTAACCTCACAACAGTCTTTTAACACTTTATATCTTTTCTTCTAATTGAGAGTAACGATGTTTATTTTTATATTCCTGTTTTACACATATAATATAGAATATTATCAAGTTTCAGCCAAATTGGCGAGGAAGTCCCTTTTCTTCATAATTACTGTAATTAGTTAAGACTAGATAATCGAAAATAGTTCAAAATATATGATTGATATTTTTAATATAGCAGATGCAGTATGTATTGCGGTATCCATTCGAGCAGTGTGCCATTGTGCAGTGTCCAATCGAACAGTGTATCAATCTTACGTGTACAATCGTGCAGTGTCCAATCGTAACATGTCCAATCGAACATGTTCAATCGATCTGTGTCCAATCGTAACGTGGTCAATCGGTATCCATCCTCGCCAGTGTTCATTCCTGTATGTTCTTTAGTTCAATGGCTTTGCGTTCTCTTTAGACACTCACTTAGACAAAATAAGGTCAAATATTGCAATTTAAACTTGTCTTTAGTTTCAACGTACCGAAGTTTTATTTCCATGCAACTGACCATTACGTGGAGGAATAGTAGTAAAATAATGAATACGCTGTAGTCGTATTGTACGATATTCATGTACAGGAGCTATGACATACAACGTTTTGCAGTTCTGGGTGTTCACGGAATTTGCAAACACTCTCGCTACTATTACACTGCATCGGAAGGAATAACATTTTCAGTGTAAAGTTATGACGTGAAACACTACGACTAGTGACGTCATGATCACGTTTGTTAATACTATTTTCTAGCTTCGCAAACAGCATTTAGCGCTAAATAGTGCTAACAGTGTCTTCTTGAACGCATCCTAAGCCCTAAGCTTTAAGAAATTGGCCAATCAAAATCGAATAATAAAAGAATAATCAATCGTGATTGGTCAATTTCTTAAAGCTTAATGCTTAAAGCATCTATTTTAGATTAGGATTTAAGCTTGGATCAGATTATGGATTAGGGATTGTGATGGAATTGAGTTTGGCTAATAATACAAAATTAACTGAATTCAAATTTAATGAAATTTAATGAACTTTGCATTGATCAAATTTTAACTCAATTTCCATCTCTAATTTGTAGTATCGTTCGGACTTTAGGAATTAGGATTGCAGATTGAGAATTAGAAATCAACCAATGAAGTCAACAGGTCTGGATTGGCATCGTAAATCATTATCACACAATGGGTTGAAATAGAAGGATGAGTTTGGATATCAGATTAGAACATGGAGTTCAACCAATCAACATTTTGCAGACTACAATTGGGAGTATAGATTGATTTAATAATTTAATATTTTAGATTTTAATGTAATTTTTTAATATTTTTACAATATTAGCCAATAATCGTAAAGTATGTCAATGGTTTAATATGGATTGTAATATAATGAATGTATTGTGTACAAATGTTTCTAGGAATTGGAAAATTGTATACATATGGCTAAACTTGTTAATAAGTGACACATACGAGAAAGATCGTATATTTCTCTTCATGTAGAAAGTTAATTGATAACATGAGCATGCCATCGTGAAACCAATTGCATGATTGTTTTCAATAGTATATATTTCTTATCTTCTATATCTGTTTGGACATTTACCGGTCCTTTTTACATTTCTCTTTCTTTCTGCTATTATTAATAGCAAAAGAAGAATATTAACATTTGTTCGTTTAATGATATTTCGATTCATTTTTTTCTTTATTATGTCACTTTAATGTTTGCGAATCCAAGATAACTTAATCGCAATGCAAATCGCCATTATAGTGAGTGTTTACGTGATCGGATTCCAATCGGATCTATCGCAGTGCTACTAAGGAAAAAAGTTCCCTAGACTAATCGGATTTCTAAATTGTGTCCGTGGGATAATCGAAATAGCGGATGAAGAGGAACTTGCAAGAACGTTTATATTTACTCGTTTTGTAAAAAATAAGTATCGAGAAGGAAATAAAATAATAGGTATGCACTTTCTTATATTTGTTATAATTAACATTCATTATCATTATTTTCAACATACTGCAGCTTCATTTCCACGCAACTGTCCATTACATACGGGAATAATAGTGAATGAATATAATGCATTCGTATTGTACGATATTCATGTACAGAAGCTGTGACGGGTGTATTCGACATAACAATCCCAGCGCTCACGCTCACAGCGTCGTGATTATTTGTTCCATTAAAGCCAATGGTATACGATTCTTATTTTCGTGTTGCTTCGGATTGCTTGATGGATACTGACTGTGTTTTAATTGGTGCATTTCCAAAAATGGATGACAATATATCAATCTATACGCAATATATCTATCTAGCAAGCAATCCAGCACGAAAACAAATATTGTATGCCGCTGGCTTAACTTGAATGTGTCCATAAGTGGAACGAATGGGACTGTCTTTTCATACGGCGTAACTTGTCTAAGCGTAACTTACATCGGCCAATCAAATCCGCCTCAGTAATTGGTAATTGGGTAATTTAGATAATTTGATTAGCTGACGCAAATTATGCTTACGCAAATTACGCCGAATGGGGAGACAATTTTATGAGCATGTTGATTGTTATTATTATAACACAGATTATGTTTATCGTGTAAATATTGAAGAATAATTCCAGCGAGAGCAATTTCAATTCCGCAGAAGAAGGGGAAAAATAAACGTGTTTAACGCCCTTGTATAAAAAATTGTCGAATCAGTTGTTTTGCACAACATATATGCATTTTGTATTTAAGAACCATTTTAGATATCAGGTTTTTTCTTGTTTTTGACTTTACAAAAATTACTGCATTCAACAATGATGTAGCAAAATCAATATCTATAAACAATAATATAAATGAAAACAAATATTCTCAAAATTGTATTCACCAATAATATCAAATATCATAACGAGAATAAAAACGAAGTATTTATTTACACAAATATTTATAATATTATAATATGGAATTATATGAATATAAGTTATAATTGAGATTTATATCATCTTACCTAAAACAGCATCACGTGTATCATCGGCAGAAATCTTAATACCATACATATTTTTCACTTTCTGGATCGTAGAATGTTATTTGTTCTATAGTTCCATAGATTCATAGTTTTTATTAAAATTTTAACAAAAAAAATACACGTAACATTTGTGGTATATATTAGTTTGTTCTTAATAGCCGCACTGCTGAACTAGTGCAGCTATAAAAAACAGACTAGATATGTATTTTGTGTTTAGTTACACCAAACGACCATCTGACGACGTTACGCTCACGTCGACCTATCTCCTTAATGCGGGCATTTGAGCGTAAGGAAGCTAGTTATAAAACTAGTTATAACAATACGCAGTAAACACCACGGGCGTTAAGTAGAACGGCATGAAGGGCGATTTGGGCGTTGCGATCATAGAGATATTATAAATAGAGGAGGCAAGTTAATTCTGGAGACATCCGCTTGGTAAAAAGAGAAAAAAGACCGGGCGGGTCTTGCATCTCTCTCTTCTCTCTTCTCTGATTGGCTGTGTCAATTTCCCACATTTAAAACTTTTTGTGTAATAGAAGCATATAGGCTGCAAGCCATAGAGATATAAGAATAGAGGGAACAAGGGATATATGTTACCTGTATGTGGAAGTGATAGAGGTCAAGAGAGAGATGGATGCCGAGTGTCCTATCTGTCTCTTTCTAGTCGAGCGCTGTGATTGGTTGTTACAATGAGCCGCCAAGACGACCACGCGACGTCAGGAGGGGAGAAAGCAGACTAAAATTTCGTTTTGTAAATATGCGTGCACATGTGTGTAGAATTAAAATTCGTTAAATATTCGAACGTTAACAAAATAATAATTGGACGCGATTTGTTTAAAAATGAGGCATTGTTTGAAATGCAAGGCGGAGTCTTATCCTGGATGTAACCGCANGAAAAAGTACAAATACGTAACCTCAAATAATTATATGTTATTTTTTCCTACATTTAAAAAAATATGTAAATGTTATAGGCTACCAAAGGATGTAGATATAAGGCGTAAATGGTTGAATATATATTATATATATAAGTATATAATATATACTTCAACTACCTTTGTATTTTAAAGTGAAAACAGCATATATTTGCAGTGATCATTTTAGCAATGACAGTTTCTTTGAATTGGATGGAGAAAAATGTATAGCTATATCGTCGTTGGCGCGGTAGCCAATCCCAGCGCGTGACTAGAAAGAGACAGATAGGATACTCGGCATCCATCTCTCTCTTTGCCTCTATCACTTTCACTTACAGGCTTGTTCCCTTTATTCTTATATCTCTATGCAGCAAGCAGAAGTAAAAGAGCAGACAACCAAATATATCGTTGACATAACCAATAAAGTTTGTTTGTACAATTTGTATTCATTTGTTTGGCTTTTTTAATTTTATTTTTTTAATAATGAGAACCTGTGTGGTCTGCAAAAAATTTTCAATACCTGGAGACAACAGTCGCAGTTTTCACAAGTAAGTAATAATAAATATTGTGTTAATATTCTTACAGAGAAATGTATCTCTACAAAATTTATTTTTAAATACACTAAATTGTTATTGTATACCAAATTTATTGATGTATAATTATTAATTGATGTCTATGTATATTTATTACATAAAATGAAACATAATAGTATTAATTTTTTCTTAATAATAAGAAATGAAAATAATGAAATTTTTTGAAAACAGTATTTGTGAAACAAGTTTAGTATTAATTGCATCTGGTATTGCAGGTTCCCCGATGATTGTGTATTAAGAGACAAATGGATGTTGGCACTTGGAATTTCATCAGTGGCAACAAGTACAACAGTCTGCAGTGATCATTTTGATGAAAATGCTTATCACAAAACAGATGGATACACTACTTTGAAGCGTTTACTGCATGATGCTATTCCTATCAGTCAATCAAGTGTAGAATGTGATAAATTAAGTGACTGTGCACAAACATCAGCATACACTGGTACATCTGAAAGCAGCGTGTCAATGCCAGCAGATGACGATTTAACTAAAATTGCATCGATACCAACTGATGATATTAGCAATATCACTGCTTCGATTCCAACGGATTCTGCTGTGTTCAATGAACCTACTTCGGTGACAAATGATGACTTTGAGAATGAATCTCATACACGTGTATCTGATAAAATTGCACATTCCAATAAATCATTGTTGGCTGCTGACGTTGATGATAGTTACGAGAACAGAAAAAGGTAAAGTTAATGGATAGTGAAATTAAAATAAAAAGACATTTTTCCGATGAAGCGTGGAAACGCTTCTTAAGATACAAAATTAGTAGAGACAAACAGCAAGACAAAAACAGGAAAAAAAGTTCCCGGATTTCAGAAAAACTGAGAAATATCAATGACCTAGTACAAAGTTTGAAAGAGAAAGAAAGCTTATCTGCTGCAGAGTTTTTAGAGGTTTTATGATTTGATTCAGCAACATTATGAATTTGAATTTGTACATAACTTTTTTTTTTAACTTTAACTCTGATCAACTGTATTAATTGATTTTTACAATTTTTTTACTCGTTTTTAGCAAACTACTTTTACGTTGTTTAAATTTGAAATGATAACAAAATATACAGTATTTGTCACTAAATAATTATGTTATCATCTAAACTGAAAATCTAAGTCACGAATTTTTTTATTATTATCAGTCGTATATATGTTTTATTTCATAAACTTTAATATATTTTGTACATCTGTGACCCGGCCTCCGTCGATCGGTGGACGTTCGTCCCGTCCCGGCCGACGGGGTGGTCGTTTCGGTTTCGCTGGTCGACCGTGTTTCGGTGTCGGTAGCCCTGGCGTAGCTCGCCGGATGTCCAGGGGTCTTTGTAGTGCGAGTGTGCGAGCGTGTGAGTGGATGAGTGAGTGAGTGAGTGAGGGAACGAATGATCGAATGCGCGTGGAAATAATAAGCTGTTTATTTAATTATCCCACGTCGTTTGCTACACGATAATCTTATCGATGGGCCGTGCTTTAATTTCGTCGTTTCAAACCAGCTACTATTCAGGTGACAATACTGGCGACGGAATCCCGTGTTTATATTGCGGCCGTGTATTGATGGCTCGCTCGATGTTTCGGCGGATCGATGTTTCCCGGAATATATTTAGAGCAGACGTGTCGCTCGCTGCGAGGATCCCGCGGTGTCAGCGGAGAGCGGGCGCGGTATTAGCGTCTCGGCGTGTTGATGTTTCGCGGCTTTAAATTTGACGGTCTCGCATCGGAGTGCAACGGCGGAATGCACCTGCTCGACTCGGCGTCGCGGTACGCGGTTCGCGGTGATTGCCGCACGCGGAGTGCCCGCGTCGGTCGACTCCCGGAGCGGAGGACACGCGGTATCGTGCCTCCTTACAGGAACGGTGGAGTCGGCCGGGCGAGCCTAGCCAACGTGCAGCCGGCGGCGGTCGGTGGTACCTCCGGTGAGGTGCGGCGGAAAGACACGCGTTGTCTCTAGTTACGCGTTCGCATGCCCCGGAGACGCAGAGCCTAACGACTAGAGTGGAGTGGCCGAGGTTGAGAACGCTCAACAGAGGCGGCGAACACACCACCCCAACTCGTGCCGATCCCCGGGTCTGCCGCGGGCAAGAAGACCGGGAGCTCCCGGTGGAGACGGCGAACGCACCGTCCCGAAATGGAAGTTGTTGTGAATCCGGTGCCCGCGACTTCCACGGGAGAGACCGCATGCGCACGACCTCAGACTTTCCGGATGACAGGATGTCGATTCGGCTGCGAACTCACAGCAGCGACGGCGTACGCACCGTCGCGGTCCCTCGACCTAGGGATGGGATCCGGAGCAGCTTGTGATCTTGCGATCTCGGCTGACTCCGGCGGAGTCTGGCCCCGATAGCACGGCGGCGTGGTCTTTTATACCGCCAAACCGTGGTTTTTCCGACACGTGCTTAACAACAACAACACATGTTGTTGCTTACATGAGCACGTGTCGGTTGCGTGCTCCGCGTGTGAATTTGTTTATTTGGCGCTAAGCGCCGTTTTCGCGACCGACGGATGGTCGGTCGGTCGCGGTGTTCGCCGGGGGGGTGCATCGTTACAAAATATTTACTACAAATTGTAATTTTACTAAAGGAGACCCACAATTAACAATAGTTTCTTGATATTACCAAAGGTTTTCACAAGATAGCCATTCAACATTATAATGTCATACACGTTTGCGCAAAGACAGCAGATTTTTNCATCTCGTTAATATTACAAGTAATTGACTGTATAATCAATTATTTTTATTTTTATCATAAAATTCTGATTTAAACCATACTTACAGACTTTTAAGTGTTGTATAACCAAGCATTTCATTTTTCAGTAAATATACAAACTTTCCTTAAAAACTTGCTAATTATATTTTTTATTAACCACATAACCTTTTCCATCTTTGTCATAGGGCTTACCTGAACACGTTAAGCAGCTTATTCACAGAATGAAAGAAAAAAAAACCACAGTTCAATTCCCTTCACATTTAAGAAGTTTTGCAAGAACTCTTCACTACCATTCACCGGCAGCATATGAAATGGTAAGGCGTAGCTTTCTTAAATGCTTGCCGTGCACAGAAACTTTGAATCGTTGGAATTGCTCCAAGAACTATTCGCCTGGTATTTCTCAAGAAATACTCGAATATGTCTCAAGTATGGTGAAAAGTAGTGAGAGTCAAGGCAAACATTTGATATTTAACGTAACGTTTGATGAGATGCACATCAAAAAGTTGGTGTTTTACTGCAAAAATTCTCATGAATGGAAGGGATTGGTCGATCTAGGAGGACAACTTGAGAAAATGAGCGAAGAAGGTAAAAGGCATCAAGCGAGTAAGGCATTAGTTTTCATGCTCGTTAACATCAACGGTGGTTTTAAAACTCCTGTCGCATACTATTTAAGCAATTCACTAACTGGTGACGAAAAATTCGTTCTTCTAAAAGATCTTTTGATAGAATTAGATAAAAATAGTATCAACGTAGTCAGCGTAACTTTTGACGGGGACGAATCTAATCAGAAAGCTTACAAAGCTATGGGTGCTAATTTTAACTACGCTGATCAAGTTAACTTTAAACCACACTTTCTACATCCATCTACGTCGGAAATTGTTTAAGTATTTTTCGATGCCTATCACATGCTTAAATTGGTTCGTAATTATTTTGCGCTGAAAGGGCCCATTATTGACAAAAATCTGAATAAAATTCAGTGGGATTACATTGTAAGGTTGAACAACGTACAATATGATGAGGGTATGCATTGTGCGTGTCCAATTAAAAATAGACATGTATACTTTCACAATGAAAAAATGAAAGTGTTCTTGGCAGCGCAAGTACTTAGCTCCAGCACCTCATTAGCTTTGAATTTCCTTGAAAATATTATGAAACATGATGATTTCAAAAATGCCTCTCATACTGCACAATTTTGTAAAATTTTTAATGATATTTTTGATTTATTAAATACTAAAAACTTGTATTGCAAAATGCCCGGCAGGAAGGCTATAACATAAGCATCTTTACCGGATTTGAAAAAGAGAATTGATAAATTTACCGAGTACATAGAACAATTACAAATAATTATCCCCGCTAAAATAAACAAATGTAAAGATTCTTCCACTAGTAAGGCAATCGTAAAATCTGTACTTCAATCAAGACTAGTTAAAACTGGCTTCGTTGGCTTTTTAATTTGTTTACAAAATTTCTATGCTTTGTGTGAAACATTATTTACTAAAAAAATGATTACTTTTTTTTATCGTACAAACTTAGTCAGGATCACGTTGAGATGTTTTTCGCGTTGATAAGACGTATGAATGGTTTCACTACAAACCCAACGACAGTTCAATTCCAGTCTGCCTACAAAAAGCTTTTACTGAATAACATGAACGTGATAGTGCCGGCGTCAGCAAACTGCACTCCACAAGACACGACTTTCATGGTCTCCGATGTAACAGATGCATACTCTATTGATCGAACAGTTATCGATGGTAGCGATCAACAGATAAAGAAAGACAATGACGGTGCCTCTGTCATGTCATTAAAAACCAAAGATTTTCTGGTTAGTTTAATTTTACATACAAATTATTGTATATTGGAGCATGACTACGTCAACGAGGGAAAATGGTTACAGTCCGAATATTTAGAGGATATTATACGACATACGGCTGGTGCAGTTGTTTACTCAATTAAAAGAAAAGTACATTGCACTGGATGTATAAGTATGCTACAGGGCTCGACGACTAAGAAATCAACGTTGACAATCGCAAAAAATAGAGGCTTGAATTTTGCGTCTGACGATGTGTTTGCGATATATCATTGTACTGAAAGGATTATACGGCGTCACAAGCACATTTTATTAGACAAAAACATTTATTTTAGAATTGTTTCCGAAACTTTGAAAATTTTACCCCCTTACACTTTCAGCACCGACGATCACAATTTCGAAGAGGAAGCTTTATACGATCAACAATTAATATACCTTATTGTTCAAAATTACTTGGAGAAACGACTGAAACATGAAAGCGACAAGCTTAGCGATGTAAAATATCGTATCCGTATGCGAAACAATAAAATGACGATATTTAAAGGTAAATAAACTGTAAGAATACAAAATGAATTCTGTGATTACTTCAATGTGCATATGATTATACTGTATTCATTAATTTATTAATGCGATAAAAATATTAATACTTTCATTTATATTTATTTTCAACAAATTGAAATAAATAGTTTTACAGTAAATATAACAAATGAACGCTTTTTCATGAAAAATAAAATTAAGCTCGAGCCAAAATCATAATGAAGAAGTTAATAAAATTGTTAAAAAGTTGTTAATTTACTTGAATCTCATTAATTTTTCCTTTCTATTTAACGTTTTAAATGAATATAAAAAACGCATGTATAAATATTAATTGGCACCTAATTTATGTTTTTCTTCATGTCTATTAAATAAAAAAAAAAATTCAATGTGGAATCGAACTTGAGTATGTTTTCAAAAGGACTGCGTCGTAGTCTGCGCGGTTACGACAGCATCCCCTGAGTTTTGATGGAAGCTTATATTTAAGTTGTGCTCCCCGTTTGGGTTTAAGTAGTGGGGAGTTTAGGTTAACTCTGCTGTCGTCGCTACTCTCAGCTGGGCTATGTAGTGGAGGAAACACAAGCCAATCAGTGAAGAGGGAAGAGATAGATGCAAGACCCGCCCGGTCTTCTTTCTCTTTCTACCGAGAGGACGCTTCCACTTACAAACAGCCGTATACCTTGCCCCCTCTATAATATCTCTATGACAAACAGCCGTATACTTTGCCCCCTCTATTTATAATATCTCTATGGTCCTACCTCGATAGAAGAAGCGTTTGTAAGCGCAAGTTATGACGTTACCGTTATGTCAATACGCGTTCTATGAGCCCTCACGATGTTAAAAAGACTGATGAAAGAGAAGCTTATAAGCGTTTAAAGCAAGTAATCGTCTAAAGAGAATATATATATATATATATATATATATATATATATGTGTATATATATATATATAACAGAATACACCCAGTGTAGATTCCCGAACGCAACTTCGGTTGCCTGTAATCATATGTTTTGTTATTTTAAGTTATACTGCTGAACTGGTGTAAAAGTTGAAGTGAGACAAGTATATTGGCTTCTGCCTATAAGACGCGGTAACGCTTGCCGCGTGGCGGATATTCGCGCAATAACCAATCAACGTGACGTTCTTCTATGAGAACTAAAAGTTTATTGGCTGCTGCATCGCTATTTGCGTGTCCTGTGGGCAGAAGCCATATGTTTTCTAAAGCCAACGGCACACGGTACTTGTTTTCGTGTTGTATTGCTTGCTGGATGGAAATACTGCGTTTTGATTGGTGTATTGTCATCTATTTTTGGAAATGCACCAATAGTATTTCTTTCAACTTGTGTAACGTCCGGACTTATTTTGAAACATTAATAGTATATTAGTATAGATCGGAGGCCGACTTGTCTGATTTCAGATATCACTAGGTTAGGTATTCACCAGGTATAGATATTTTATCCCTATGTTACTAGATGTAAGTACGTGCGCATATGTATATTCGCGCACGTTAAATATTATAATTAAAATTATAACGCCGAAGAAACGACGTGTCGTTAGAGAGTCTTAAAATCAATGGATCAACTATAGACAAGAGAAACCGTAATCTCTCAATGCGATAAGGCATCCCGTTGCTAACATAAACAGGAGCATGAAACCTGAATCCAAACACCTCCAAACTCCCAACTCAGGACCGACGCGGCGATATCGACGCAGTGACATCACACCGATGGAATGAATTTCTTCCATCTCCATGACTCCATCAGCCAACCAGAAAACGACTCTCAGCGACAAAGCAACGTATAAAAACGCGCGCATTCGTTGAGAAGGCGATTCTTTTCTCGTGATTAGCTTTTGGTACTTGTGTATTTATATACTTTGGAATATATTAGTCGTAAAATCCGACTGTGTAGTAATTATTTTTGTCTACCCCTCATTTCTCGAACGTTGCGAAATCGAAATTGGAATCGCGGACCGCATCATCCCGCGCAGCGCCGGAACATCCGAGACCGAGCCAGGAGAACGAGCGGCTCTGATTTCTCACCAGATTCATCGATCGTTTCGCCAGACTCCGGAGACCCAGGGTAAACTCGATGAAAAGCAGAGTGACCTAAAANAAACTCGATGAAAATCAGAGTGACCTAAAATATATATGACCTATATATTATTATAATATTATTATAATATATATATATTATATATTATAATATTATTATATATTATAATATATAATAATAAATAATAAATAATAATAAATAATATATATTATTATAATATTATTATAATATATATATATATATATTATATATTATAATATTATTATATATTATAATATATAATNTGCATTTCAGCACGAAAACCGCATCGTATACCGCTGGCTTTACTTCAACTTATTGCACCAGTAGAGCAGCTAAAAAAAACTAATAATTGAGCAGTGAAGCAGTGGAACATTGGGTGTAGTTGATGGTGATGTTTGTCCCAGCCGTATCTGAGGAATAGGAACAGTGGAACATTGAAGGTTCTCTCTGATATTAGGTTATCTATGCTGTAACCCCACAAAGTATTTATATTATCAAATTTATATCATTGTCCATATTTGTATGTGTGGTTTCTTTACTACCATGTGAAATATTATAGAAGATTGGAAATTTCTGTGACAATTGACGAAATATTGAAAAGAGGAGAAATAAAAAATTGTGATGCATTGTTGACGAAAAGAAAATTTATAAGTATAAAATAATAGAACAATAATCGAAGGCGGTATTAAATAAACGTAATAGTTAGAGATCGAAGTAATTGTACATACACGTGTATCACGCATAATGGCAACTCCAACCAACGGCAATGGTAATCTCGTGGATGAGTTTGAAGAAGCATTCCAGGTACTCGCTTTTTGTGTATTTAATTTTTATTTAGAATTTGCATTCTTGATTACAAGTTTCTTTATTACTTTTATGTAATTTATTGTTAATAATGCATTTTTACATAATGTTTTACATGAGAAAAAGATATTGCTGTTGATAATGTATTAAATAATTCATATTGGATGTGGATATAAATAAAATGAATTATTATTGCAGCTACTCAATTGTTACTTTTAATATTAATGTTTATAATATTTGATTTTTAACAACAAAAGATTTGTTCTATTTTCTGATTTAAAATACTTCATTGAAAGAAAAATTATTGAAACATTCTATTTTCTCTATAGGTGCTTTAAATTAATTTAGAAAATTTTATGAGAATAAAATTATATCACTAAGAATAATTTTACCTTAGCATATATACAATTTATATTTTTATAGGAAATAGATCAATGTGAGAAATAATATATAAGAATAGTGAATATTTAAATAATATTTAAATAATAATATTCAGAAATAAAGTATTCCTCTTTATTTAACTACATATGTGCATATATATTCATACACATGCATATATGTACAAAAATGATAATTTTACAAATCGTTTAAATTTATTCGTCATTGATAAGAAAAAATTGATAAAAATTTAAAATGTCAACTTGATCAGTTTTCAATTGATTAAATTTGGCTAATATATAGAGAAGATTATATTTTACTGATGTTTTTTGTTTTAAGTTATAAAGGATACAATGAGTTAAATTAATCCTATAAACTATATGGAGATTGTTTGTAGTTTTCGAGATATATCACTTTATAGTATCAAAATTTCACCGTTGAAATATAGTAAATATTCATATAAGGTCAATCTCCTCAAGCAACAATCTTGTCAAGGGTATAATCTCGAGCAACATGCAAAAAATTTGAGCTGTCGCTCATTGTTTGTAAAAAAATAATCAACAAAAAAGTTTAAATATATAGAATGAAGCAATATATATATATAGAAAAGATTACACCTCACCGATTTTTTGTTTTAAGATATAAAGGGTAAAATTCTGAGTTAATTTGTTTTCTATAAATTATGTCACATATAGTTTTTGAGATATACTTCACTTTATCACTTTAAAGTAGACTTTAAACTACTTTAAACCAGAATTTTACATTGTAACTTGGTAAATTAGCTAATATTCTCAGAATCTATTATTTTAATATAAAATAGACCATCAATTTAGCAAGGCGAAAGATTTAATGATCAGTAACCAGAACAATTCAAACTTCTTTTGCGAGTAACTTTTTAACAACAAATAACGACTCAAACTTGTTGTATATTGCTCGGGATTATGTCCTTGAGAATATGTTAAGATCATTAACTGAAGGGATTGATTTTATGTGAATATTTACCTTTTCTTCTTCTCCTTCTTCTTGGTGTTATAGCCCTTATAGAAGTTGTAGAGCTTGTAGAGTGCCCGGTAGATTGTTAGAGTTAGATTTTCATGGCAAAGATATTATCGGTGGCTTGCCAGTCCATTGGAGAGGAGATACGAGCGTATGAAAATATTTTGGTTTTACTAGGAGTCGAATCTGAGACCTCTAGTATAGCAGATCGATGCACTGTCTATTATGCCACGCTCGTGTTCATTTACTATATTTCAACGTGTAAAATTCTAAGTACAATTATAAAGTACTTTAAGTCTTTACTTCTAAATAAAATTATAAAGTACTTTAAAATACTTTATAGTGATATATCTTGAAAACTACATGCGACTTCCATATAATTCATAAGAACAAATTGACGCAGAATTTTACTCTTTATAATATATCTTAAAACAAAAAAATTAGTGAGGGACTTTTCTATGTATTTACCTTAAATTTTTAGCAATGCTTGAGCATATTGACAAAGGACGAAGGATTGGGCAACAATGGGATTGGTATATCTGGTGGTGTGACAGTAGATAAGGATGAAGCTCGTGCAGAAGTGGAGCAAGTTACTCTAAGATTTATAGATTTAGCCAGACAAATGGAAGCCTTTTTCCTGCAAAAAAGATTTTTACTGTCTGCATTAAAGCCTGAACTAGTGATCAAAGAAGATATTAATGACCTGAAGTTGGAATTAGCTCGTAAAGAAGACCTTATAAAACGACATTATGACAAAATTGCTGTGTGGCAGAGTCTTTTAGCAGATTTACAAGGATGGGCCAAGTCTCCAGCTCAAGGACCACCAGCACCTAATGGTGAGCAAATTTATTATTCATATTTAATGATGCTGATGATGATGATTGATGTTAATAGGATTACCTACTCCTCAAAGTGGGCAAAACCAGCAAGCTGGAAATGGTAACAGTAACACTACTATGCAGCAGCAGCAGATACTGCAACATCAGCAACAACTGCAGCAACAGCAGCAGCAACAACAGTTGCAACACTTGCAGCAACATCAGATGCAACAGCAACAATTACATCAGCAACAGGTATTTAAGTAATATCGTTTACAGCCAAACTTTAAAAAGTCTCTTGTTCTTTAGGCAGATTATTATCAAACTTAGCATTAAAAGTACGCTTTTTCCAAATTAGAAAGAAAAGAAAAGCACGCAAAAAGCGAAGAAGGTTGCTACAGAGTAAGCGAAGATTTTGTTCTGGTCTCTTTTACAAGAAGAAATGCTAAAATGCCGATATTATTTATTTTTATTTTGGAAAATTGTGGAGTTTTTCTTCGAATTTATCAAAATATATAATTTATGTGATTGCTTAGATATTTTAATAATAAGTTTTTTTTTTTATACGATTCAGGCATATCTGTCATGAAACTCAGCTTCTATTCATATGTTGCTTTTTTTCCCTATAATGATAATATATATTTATTTTTTATTATATGTGTATAATATGTACACAGTGATATATTTTAATCTTAACAGGCAAATATTTTGAAAATATACAATTTTACAAAAAAAAAAACACTTCAAATAAAAGTTGTGTGATGTAAAGAAGAACGTACAATGGTGACTTTGGTTTGATCTTGAGACATCTATTTAAGGTTAGATGAAGGTCAATTTAATTTTTTCAAATGGAAATCCCTATTTCTTATTGTATTCTCAAGTTGAACGAATTCAAGGGAATATTTAAGATATCTTGATAATTTTTTAATAAAATCAATAGTTTCCGAGATATTATTGAAAACTGAAAAGTGTATAATCAATTCTTGGTTGCAAAAAAACCGCTCTTAACGCTATCCAGGATTAATGATGTGGCGATAATTTGATCCATTTTGGGGCTTGATTTCCGTGAGACTCTTTGTCTCTCACATTTGGACTGCTTGATTTCCGTGAGTTCCTTTGTCTCTTACGATTTACATCTTATAACATTTGTTTGAATGTATTACCATTCACTTTATTATACATTCAAAGCCTATGACGTCATACAATAGTAGAAGAAATTCTTTAAGAATAATTGCTAGCACTCTGGCATTTTTCATATTGACCGGATTTATTGGTTCTAATAAAAACAACGTCTTTAATATACTCTCCATAAGAATAAAACAAGATATCATATCAGGAGAATTTGGAGACTATCGGACATAACTGTTGAATCTTACCCAGCGTTTAAGATAAATGGTCTAAATAGTCTCGTATAATGTTAGTTCTGTACGGAGGAGCACTATTGTGTTGAAACCACATACATTCTCTAGTTTCTAAATTAGTATCTTCTAATAATTCTAGTAGATTATTTTGCAAGAATTATAAATATATTTATCGATTAAAATTATCTTCAAAGAAATAGGAGCCAAAAATTATCTTCAAAAGAATAGGGACCAATAATTTGACCATACAAAATGCTACACTAAACATTCACTTTCCACTAATGCTAATGATCTACATGACAAAGCTAAAATTGATTAATATTTTAATAATAATAGCAAATATGACGATTTAATTCTCCGGTATTCTGAAATGTTGATTCGTCGGTAAATAAAACCTTATCAAAAAAGTTAGATCTTCCTATAATTTTCCCAAGCCCCAATGACAAAATTTGATGCATTTTCGTTTTTGATTTTTAGTAAGTGCCTGATGCCGTTGAATGTGATAAGCGTGAAAATTATTCGCTTTTAAAATTCGCTGAACAGTTAACTGAGAAATATTGAGATCTCGGCTGATTATACGTTGACTAATCTGAGGATTTATCACTGTCATCCCTAAAACAGCTGTTTTCAAAATATTAGCATCAGTCAAAGATTTCTTTTTATGTTTACGGATTATTTTATCTTTACGTGCTCTATTTATAAGACTGATTATTGTTACATGATTGGAACATCGACGATCTAGATACCGTAGTGCATATTAATGGGTACATTTCCTGCAGTTTTCATTGCTCTTTTTATATTTAATTATTATGTCGACAATTTCACTAAATGAATAATCTGTCGTATTAAAAATGATGAAGGAAACAAAGTGTTAATTTTAATATTTTTATCAATTTATGTACCTAAAGTGGCTCGTCCACAGCCGCGAAGTAACTGATGTAATACTCTGGGTTGCTTATTAATGAAACACACTTTAGAAAGTACATAAATGGCGACTTATGGCTCACGGAAATCAAGCACCTTGAAAGGGATCAAATTACCGCTACGTCCACGTCGTTGATCTTCGGTAGCGCTAAGAGCGGTTTACGTATTCAAAAGTCGGTTATAACTTTGTTATAAGAATCGGTTTACAACTTTTCAGTTTTTAAACCCAAATATCTCGGAAATTATTGATTTTATAAAAAAATGATCAAGATACCATAAATATTTGCTTGAATTCGCTTAACCTAAGGAAAAGGGATTTTCACTTGAAAAAATTAGGTTGACCTTCATCTGACCTTAAGTATGTCTCAAGGTCAAACCAAGGTCACCATTGTACGTCCCCTTCTACACAACTTTTATTTGGAATCATTTTTTTTTAATTGCGTATTTTCGAAATATTTGCCTGTAATGTGCAGAATATGTACAGGGTGATTCATTTTAATCATAACAGGTAAATATTTCGAAAAATATGAAAGATATGAGAAAATATTTATGATAAAAGTTATAGGATTTGATAGGGGACATGAGACATTGACTTTAACTTCATTGTACAATCAATAACTTAAGATCATTTCAAGGTCAACTTAATTTTTTTAAAATAGAATTATATAGTTTTTTTTAACTTAAATCGATTTCCTTGTTCATTATACGTATAAAAATACTAGGGCAAGGTCATATAAATTCGAATACTTTTTGTGTTATTTTACTTTTTATTCTGATATTTTTGAGTACGAGAGAGAATATAAAATATCCCATAAAATATTTACATTTTGATAATATCACCTTAACACTTTTTTACATAATAATATGACAGAAATCGATTACTGATATTAATCATTGCACATTGGTGCATCACATTTGTAAAATGCAATAAATTTTTTCTTAAGGTTTCTCTATGTTTGTTTAAAGCGATCGATTCCACTTGCTTACATACAAAACTGTTAAAATGATATTGAAAAAGGAATACTTTATGAGATATTTATCTTGTACTGAAAAATATCAGAATACAAAGTAAAATAATTTAAAAAGTATTCTTATTTAGAAAACCTTGCTGTAGTACTTTTATATGTATAATGAACAGAGAAATCCATTTTTGTTAAAAAAAAACTATATGAATCTATTTAAAAAAATGAAATTGACTTTGAATTATTGACTATACAACGAAGTTAAGATTATATGTCCCCCTCCAAATTTTACAATTTTTATTTGAAACATTTTTCTATATCTTCAACGTTTTTCGAAATATTTACGCATTAAGATTAATATAAATCACTCTGTGTTTATACAAAGTGATTCATAAATACATATCCACATTTCAGAGGGTGAATCTATATACCGAAATAAGTAAAAAAACTTCATATGAATATATGTATCTTACATATGTTAGTTTTCGAGTTATGGATGATTAGAAAAAAATCTTCGAAATGTTCACCTTGTATAGTAACACACGCTACCACACGCCTTAGCACGTCTTGACCTTATCTAATGTTTATAAATAATATTCATTAATATGAATCAGGCATCTCAATCTATTAAATTTTTATTTTTAATGCCATCTAAAATCTATTATGTATTCAACGCATGTAAGTAATGTGCACAATCTGCGAGGAAGGATACAAAATGGATTTGAGACTATTCGAAGAATTCTTGGTATTTCTGAGCGAGTGCAGAATTCATTAACTGCATTGAGCGAAAAAAGCGATCAGTGAGCTGTCATTGATCATTGGTCTTTACTTTTAAATCTCTAAATTTAAACCAATTATGTTGACGAATTAGTCAGCCGTTGTGCAACATATTTATTTGCTGAACACAATCAATGTTAAGGTGTGCAATAGTGTGTGTTAACACATGAGGCGGACACGTTGAATTTTCTTTAATTATCCATAGCTAGAGAACTAAGTATGTATGTAAGACATATGTTCATATGATGTTTTTTATTTATTTTAGTGTGTAGATTCATTCTCTGAAATATAGGCATGCATTTATAAATCACTCTGCGCGCGCGCGCACACACACACACACACACACACACACACAGAGAGAGAGAGAGAGAGAGAGAGAGAGAGAGAGAGAGAGAGAGAGAATGTCTCATTTTATTTTTGACAGTCAAATATCTAAAAAAATCGAGATACGGAAAAATATTTCAGATAAAAGATATACGGTCTCAAGGAAGACAAATAATGATAAATATTAATTTAAAAAAACATAAATTTTCAAGGTCATATGAAGGTGATCGCTATTTTTTAAAACTGAATTTGGTATTTTTTCCTAAAAAACCTGAAAGAACATTTAATTTTTGCGTAAAAAAATGTTAGAATACCTTTGACCTAAATTCATTATGCAAGGAGACATTTTATGAAAACAAAAAACTTTTATTGATCAGTATACGTGTGTAGTTTTCTTCTTAGCTAAATCTAGGACTACGGACGAAGATATAGGAGAACAACTGTCCTGCACGTGTACCCAGAGATCGTGAGTATAGTTCCTTATTTCCATAATATTTTAAGACTCTAAACCTTTTTTGGTATTTATAAAATCTTAATTTAAGATTGATTCTTTAATATTGACACTTTTAACCTTATGACATAATCTAATTTTCCGGAAATGTTCTTCTAATTCAAGATTACGCGATTACTATTGTCGATTAAAATATTATTAATGACGATAGTTCATGTTAAATAACATTTACCTATTCTACATTCGCCTATTACTAAATTAAATCGATGCTTTCGACTTCTTTTCGTATATGACACTTCCCAAATAGCAAGACGACGTTAAATTTGTGGAGCTAAATTAAAAATATAGTTTATTGAAACCCACCAACTACCAAAAGTTGATATAAAAAAAAAAAATAAGAGATAAATGCCGTAGTATCTTTCACAATGTTTTATTGTCATTAGAAGAACATTTCCG